TATACACTTGCTAATTCTCAAACTAACATAATGTAATAAGTTCCTTTTGATTTTATTGATATCGAAAGAAAATATCAAGACACATGAATCTAAGATATGTCGGTTATCTTTGGATTATAACCAGCAGCATTTTCCAACAGTAAAACAATGAGAACTGTTGACATGTTTATCAAATATGCAGAGTAAGAAAAGTACTGCCATTATTCATTGTTCAACTTTCATAGGTGGGACGAGAGAATACATTATAATTTGATTGTTAGAGGCCAATTACATTCAATACATTTACTCCAGTTTTAGAGAAACAGAGAATGTAGAATATGTATTCAGCATGACTGTACGCTTCACCAAATGTGTACATAGGGCCTAGGCACAAACGTTTCTGTTTTTAGTTTGCAACAGTTTTCTGCTGGTTGCACTGAAATTAACCTGCAGATTTGCAGCATGTAGTTGTTGCTTTACAGTGTGTAACATCACTTGACAGGGAATGCACTGGTATGAACAAAAATGCAAATATAAAGAGTTTGTGTTAATATAAATGTATCTTAACGTAAAAAGTTGATAACAAATATGTACAAGAACTAGTCCTTTTAGTGCAGAAAATAGCAACCTCAATAACTTGAAGCAGCTTTCATAAGGTGTTTTGCCATGGCATTACAAAAGTCCCTAACCATTACGGTGACTGACATCCCCATGATGTTCAAAGGGTGTAATAACCTTTCATGCAGATGGGTAAAATGATCAAAAGCAGTTTGGATACTTGACCTTTTTAACATAATATAATGCTTGTAGTGCCTGATGAAGCTGGACAGGAATCAACCAAAGAGGCTCAGATGAGGGCATTGCATCTATAATTGGACGAGTTACACTGATGGTAAGGAACTACAACTCTATTCACATTTACTGAACCCAACACCGAAATAATTAATAGTAGCAAAAAGAGAGGAAGAATACTATGGTCTTTTTTTCAGATTAATTTGCTTACTCGTACTTTTTGACATTTTCTTCCATGTATTTTTTACTTAAATGTTTGCCTATCGCTATACCGATTGACACACTTTAAATGTGTAATTTTCCCTATTATTTATTTGCTTGAGCAAACATTTGATAAAATGCTCAAAAACAATGTTTACATGTTGCTTTTACCAACCTAGATGCCCAATGTCTGCATGAGGCCCATTATCTCGCGTGTAAAGTGTATAATTTATCTCTTCAAAAGCTGGATGATCTGTCCATGCTTCATACATTCACATAAGAAGATGCACATAAATGCACAAACAGCTGCAAGCACATAACACAGACATAAATAACCACACATTCACAAAGCTAACATAGCCTGAAGTAGCAGAATTACAAGATTAAATAGTCATCTGCACAATAGGATTAGTACGGAGCCCCTAAAGGGACATGTAAAAAAAAACAAAAAAACAGAGAGAGAGAGAGAGAGAAAAAAAAAGTCAGGATAACGAGTCAGGATAACGAGTTAGTATCTCGTGCGCACGAGAAACGTTCTCGTGCGCACGAGATACGTTCTCCTGACTTTTTTTTTTTACTAACTCGTGCGCACTTTTTTTTTTTAGAAAGTTACCGGTGCGCCAATGAGGAAGTGAAGCGCACAGGAGACAACCATTTCATTGCAGACTGTTATGTTTACGTGGGGAAATGACAGTGCATACATTATTTGAGATATATATCGTACTTAGACGGCTAGTGACGGGCGGCCCACATTGGTACCGGCCCAATGGGATTCGTCCCGAACGTCCCGATGGCCAGTCCGCCACTGGCTCTCTCTGTGTGTGTGTGTGTGTGTGTGTGTGTGTGTGTGTGTGTGTGTGTGTGTGTGTGTGTGTGTGGTGTGTGTGTGTGTGTGTGTGTGTGTGTGTGTGTGTGTGTGTGTGTGTGTGTGTGTGTGTGTGTGTGTGTGTGTGTGTGTGTGTGTGTGTGTGTGTGTGTGTGTGTGTGTGTGTGTGTGTGTGTGTGTGTGTGTGTGTGTGTGTGTGTGTGTGTGTGTGTGTGTGTGTGTGTGTGTGTGTGTGTGTGTGTGTGTGTGTGTGGTGTGTGTGTGTGTGTTTCCCTATAAAACAGCTGCGGGCAGCAGGTACTCTGAGAGTCACGGACATTAATTCATAGATCAAAGCAGACTGGTTTACAGACTCGCCAGTGTTTTGCCAATCCGGTGCTTAAACCAATAGCTCTACACCCCTGGCCGAAATTTCCATAAAATGAAGTCTGACTTCAAAATATATCTCAAATAATGTATGCACTGTAGTGCCGTGAAAAGAGAGTCGGAGGCGGTGTATTAAGAATGGAGTTCCAATCTTTATTATCCATTACTTTCAGAGAGGTTAACACATGCACTGCTCTGCCTGATGAGCTAGCAGGAATGGCAGCTAAAGCTACAGGTGTTGCCCACTAAAGGGTCCGTGTGGCAACACAATAAGCAAGGTGAATTATGTCCAATAACGTGTCACCACAGCACTGTCATTTCCCCACGTAAACATAACAGTCTGCAATGAAATGGTTTTCTCGTGTTCCACTTCCTCCTTGGTGCATCGGTAACTTTCTAAAAAAAAAATAAAGTCAGGATAACGGATTTGTTTCTCGTGCGCACAAGAAACAAATCCGTTTTCCTGACTTTATTTAAATTATAAATAATTTAATCAGCATAAGAAACAGCTTCAAAACAACACAAGGATGAAGACAGTCCAACAAGTAACTAGCAGGCCTTCAGCACAGGCCCATTCACAAACCCTGTAGGATTGTATTCCTGCCACTGTGTGTATTTAGACAGATTGCTAACAGTTTGACCAAAAAACCACATGACATTCATAAACACTGCAGTTAAATCCACATGGCACGCCACGGCGGGACATTTAGAATCAGGAAAGAAACCAGCCAGCAAAGACAGAACATGAGCAGAGACAGAGAGCAGTGTATTAATTTAGGCCTACCTTATTTGGCGTCCAAGTCCATTCTCTGCTGACTTATCTCCAAGTGAGGAATCATAAGTAGCAATGCAAAACAAGATAACTCCCCATGGTTTCTTTTAAAACTCCTGCTGCTGCTAATTTCAGATTGGTCCAAACTGTGACTGGCCTCACGATTTTCTTAAGGGTTTGTTCTTTCAGATATGTGTCCATCGCAGTAGTGTGGCACTGATAGCATCAATCAATCAATCAATCAATGTTTATTTATATAGCCCAATATCACAAATGTTACATTTGTCTCAGTGGACTTTACAGTTTGTACAAAATATCAGTAGCATGAAGCTAATTATGTGATACCCTGCGGTATCATTCGATTGGACTACGCAAATTAGTCATTCGAGACAAAAATGTCCACTGCAAAAGACTTTGATAAAAACATTATATAAGAAGATTTTTTTCACAACTTTTTTGGGTTCAATCTTTAAAGCAACTTTCGCCCTAATAGAAAATACCAAAAATGTAATCATTCTCAGGATTTTAACCCTTTAAATGCCATTTTGAAAACCTGAAACTGCTGGTTTTTTTCATGATGAAAACAGAGAAAATGAGTTATTTTCCCAAAAATACATATCTGGGGACTGGCTCTTTTTTTTTTATAACAGTCTTGAATATGTCAAAGATTAGCAACAAAATTGATTTTTTTGCATTATTAGTTTTTGCACAAAATCAGATTGAACAAAAAAGTTACAAATTAGTCATTCGGGACAAAAATGTCCACTTCCAAAAACTGCTCTAAAATGAACACAGATTAATATTTTTTAAAACTTTTTGGGGTTAAATCTTTCAATCAACTTCAGTCTTGATAAAAAATACCAAATGTTAAATTATGTTCAGGATTTTAACCCTTGAACTGCCAGTTTGAAAACATGAATTTGCGTTTTCTATGAAAAACATGCACAAAAAGGCAGTTATTTTCCATATAATAAATGTTGGGGGGGTCGGCTTTTTTTTTTTTTATCACAGTCTTGGATATGTCAAAGATTAGCAACAACATTTATTTTTTTACATTATTAGTTTTTGCACAAAATCAGATTGAACAAAAAAGTTACATATTAGTCATTCGGGACAAAAATGTCCACTTCCAAAAACTGCTCTAAAATGACAACAGATTAATATTTTAAAAAACTTTTTGGGGTTAAATCTTTCAATCAACTTCAGTCCTGATCAAAAATACCAAATGTTAAATTATGTTCAGGATTTTAACCCTTGAACTGCCAGTTTGAAAACATGAATTTGCATTTTCTATGAAAAACATGCACAAAAGGCAGTTATTTTCCATATAATAAATGTTGGGGGGGTTGGCTTTTTTTTTTTATCACAGTCTTGGATATGTCAAAGATTAGCAACAACATTTATTTTTTTACATTATTAGTTTTTGCACAAAATCAGATTGAACAAAAAAGTTACATATTAGTCATTCGGGACAAAAATGTCCACTTCCAAAAACTGCTCTAAAATGACAACAGATTAATATTTTAAAAAACTTTTTGGGGTTAAATCTTTCAATAAACTTCAGTCCTGATCAAAAATACCAAATGTTAAATTATGTTCAGGATTTTAACCCTTGAACTGCCAGTTTGAAAACATGAATTTGCATTTTCTATGAAAAACATGCACAAAAGGCAGTTATTTTCCATATAATAAATGTTGGGGGGGTCGGCTTTTTTTTTTTTTATCACAGTCTTGGATATGTCAAAGATTAGCAACAACATTTATTTTTTTGCATTATTAGTTTTTGCACAAAATCAGATTAAACAAAATACTCACACATTAGCCACTCACGTCCCATCCACTCCCATTATAACCACATATTTTGATCTCTCCGCCATACCGGTATATAATCATGCATTTTATAATGTCAGGGTTTTATATTGGAGGAAAATAGTTAAATGTGTCCCTTTTTACTGTATATCACCAGATATGACATTTTACCATTGAATTATATGACCTATAAAAACACTGAAGTAATACTATTTTCAACTTTCTCTGAAATCATTTTTAAATCAGCATCAGATGTATCAATGTCAACATTTATTTTCCAAACAGCAAACTGCAATCAACATTCATGAACAAATCAAACAGTCAAAACAGAACAATGATATGTATGAGTGTGTGTTGAATAAAATGAGAGATGGATGAAGATAGAGCAAGTATGTGTGTTAGAGAGGGAGTAAGATAGATGGAGATAACAAATAATGTGTGTGTGCGTGCGTGCGAGAGAGAGATCAGTTCATCCAGCAGAACCTGCAGCAGGGGATTTGGTGCTCTCTGCAGGTGAACTTTTCACACCTGATGCAAGTGGTTGCACTTTTCCTTTTTTTCCCAGTGCACATCCAGCACAGTCCCCTCTTTTTTGTGGAGGCGGTTGTGCCGGTGTCAGGGGCAGAGCCGCTTGCGATTGTGCCGGTGTCAGGGGCAGCTGCCGAGGCCTGAATGTCCGCCACTATGGTAACAGCAGCCGGTGTACGAGGTGGATGCTTTCTCCGCATGATTTTTGCAGACACCAGAGATCTCCCCAACTCCTCCAAGAAAAGCCTCCTCCTGAAGGACTTGGCTTGCTTCCAGGAGGGATCCACAGCAGTAAAAAGCACAAATGCGTTGAAGGCAGAGACATCTATCATGTTGTGGAAGAGGACCTGTGGCCACCGATGGGTCATCCTCCTGCAGCTGTAGGAGCCCACAACCTACAAAAGACCAATACAAAATTAATACAAATATTCTTTTAAATTATTAACAACTGTATCATGTATTATTTATATACTGGTAATGCCTCCATACCTTGTCTAGGTTGTCGACAGCTCCCTTGCAGTGGTTGTAGTCTGCAATGATCACAGGTTTCCTTTTCTCCTCCTCTGTCACAGCTGGGTCTCTGTGTTTGCTGCTGAGGAGGAGCACGTTTCTCCCCCGTTTGGGAATGTAGCTCACCGCTGTGGTGTTCTTGGTAAAACCAAAAAGAGAGGAGAGGGCAGCTCTCTGCCTCACCTGCAGGAGTTTGGATGGAAGCTCAGGCTTATTTCTTCGGATGGTTCCGACAAGGGCCACTTTCCTCTTTAGTAGCTCCTGCACAAGTGCATATGACGTGAAAAAATTGTCACAAGTCACAGTGATCCCTTGGAGCCCCTCTGTCATTTCCAGGACGACACGCTTTCCCTGGCCCACCTCGGCAGCACTGCCAGCAGCTTTACCGGTGTAAATCTGGCACTTCCAGGCATAGGAGGTTTCAACGTCAGCGGTGACCCAGATTTTTAGCCCATACTTTGCTGGCTTGCTTGGTATGTATTGCCGGAATTTGCAGCGGCCTCTGAAGGGGACAAGCTGCTCATCCACACACACATCTTCACCAGGGTTGAAAAGCATCGGAAGGCGATGTGTCCACTTCTCCCAGAGAGAGCGGATGGGGGCAAGCTTGTCCTCTCTGTGACGGGAAGGTCTCATCAGCTTGTCGTCAAACCGGAGGGTGGTATTCATCAACCGGAATTTGGTGTGGGTCATTGTGGCACGGAAGATGGCACGTCCACTGTGGTCATCCCAGAGGCTGCGGGTGGATTCGCCCTTCGATTTGTAAACTCCAGCCAATATCAGGAGACCGATGTATGCACGAATATCTGTGGCATCCACATCACTCCAGTTTGCCACCGAACGTCCCCCCTGCAAGTTTGTCATGTCGACAATACTACTGATGATCTCAGCAGTGAAAAATAAATTGAAGGAGGATTCCACGTCATCAATTATTGTAATGGCATAACGCGTGGGCCCTGGAACCAAACCTCTGGCAGCGGGAATGTAGCGTAGCGTGTCGTTGTTAGAGGGAGACCAGATTTCACCATTTTTTGATGTCCACCCACTGCCAGAATCTTCTGTTTCCTCTGCAGTTTCAGCGGAAGGGTCAGAAGAAGAAGGATCAGACTCCACTACAAACTCCACATCACATTCTTCTTCTGAGGTTGTTTCTGATTCAGAAGAAGAGTCAAGCAACTCGCTGGAGGTTGCCGGCTGCATCACCATATCCCTAGCTTCTTCCACAGAGAAGCGCCTCTTCATCTTACTCGCTTGTTGCGTATCACAGGAATGAAACGACCAGCCAGCCAAACTACACATATTTATGGATCTGGCTTTGCAGCCAGGTGTTCGCTTATTGACTTAGTGCATGTATGGCTGTGTATGTTTGTATGCTAAAGAGACATTATCAAAGCCTTTGAAGTTCCAAACAATTCAAAACAACAAGGTCAAGCTGGGTCAAGATCATACCTCTGTTTACCTCTAAGACACATGAAACAGCACAAATTAAAACAAAATGCCACCAGAGAACACTTACTCCTACATTCTCACACACATCAAAGGTAAAGAGATGACGGGAAAATTGCGAATGCTGTAAACTGTAAATCAAGACATGACAAGCATTCAATGTAAAATGTCACATCTGGTGATATACAGTAAAAAGGACAAATTGAACTATTTTCCTCCAATATAAAACCCTGACATTACAAAATGCATGATTTTATACCGGTATGGCGGAGAGATCAAAAGATGTGGTTATAATGGGAGTGGATGGGACATTTTTGTCTAATCTGATTCTGTGCAAAAACTAATAATCCACCAAAATAAATGTTGTTGCTAATCTTTGACATATCCAAGACTGTGATAAAAAAAAAAAAGCCGAACCTCTCAACATTTATTATATGGAAAATAACTGCCATTTTGTGCATGTTTTTCATAGAAAACGCAAATTCATGTTTTCAAACTGGCAGTTCAAGGGTTAAAATCCTGAACATAATTTAACATTTGGTATTTTTGATCAGGACTGAAGTTGATTGAAAGATTTAACCCCAAAAAGTAAAAAAAAATATAAATCTGTTGTCATTTTAGAGCAGTTTTTAGAAGTGGACATTTTTGTCCCGAATGACTAATTTGTAACTTTTTTGTTCAATCTGATTTTGTGCAAAAACTAATATTGCAAAAAAATCAATTTTGTTGCTAATCTTTGACATATCCAAGACTGTTATAAAAAAAAAGAGCCAGTCCCCAGATATGTATTTTTGGGAAAATAACTAATTTTCTCTGTTTTCATCATGAAAAAAACCAGCGGTTTCAGGTTTTCAAAATGGCATTTATAGGGTTAAAATCCTGAGAATGATTACATTTTTGGTATTTTCTATTAGGGCAGAAGTTGCTTTAAAGATTGAACCCAAAAAAGTTCTGAAAAAAACCTTTTAATATAATGTTTTTATCAAAGTATGTTGCAGTGGACATTTTTGTCTCGAATGACTAATTTGCGTAGTCGATTTGTTACACAGTGAATTAAAGACCGATTTGAAAAATTGAAATTGGAATTCCAAAATAGATCGAGAAAATAGCCTTGTTACAAAAATTCAGGCCGTTTGCACCAACACAACCAAAGTTATTGCAAAATGAAAAGTGAAAAATGACCCATATGGACAAAAACGTCCACAGTGATACCGGAGGGTTAGACTGTAACTTCACCTGCGCACTCTCCCCAGGTCAGCCATTGCCTCGACTCTAGGGTGCAACGCTCTTTCTAACCAGAGGGGCGCTATTGCACTCACAAAAACTCAATCAAAACTGGGGTAAGAGTTAGTAGAAAAACAATAAAAGAAATATCTGATTTGTGATTGTTATGTGTTGGAAAATAAACATTGCCCAAATATACAAATTTGTGAGAACAATATTTATTGTTATTTTGTTTCAATAGATCATACATTTTGATCATTTATGCGCACAATAAATAAATGTGAGTTCAAAATCTTTCACACGTTTGGATGTATTTGTGGCACAGCACACTTCGGTGGCTTTGTCAAACATGGTCTATCACATGTACTACTTTTAACCCCTTAAATCACAGAGCAACCCTTATTATGACACACTGACGGTTTCAGCATCCTGTAAAGAGATTTCCGCAGAGGATATTGAATGTTGCTTTCTGGGAAAGATCTATCTCTATCACATTATGTTGCTCATCACAGCCACACAGCAGCCTGTTGGCTATTATAATAAAACATGTGGAGCCCCAGGCAACATTTTACCATCCTCATTAAAAAAAATAAAAGGATGACACGTGTGGACATTACCCTTTGTTAAGAATGCAGACACTGGGTAACAGACTGGCAGGAATGGATTATGCATAAGCATGGGGTTCGGTGGATGCTCATTGCACAAAATGTAAAAAGCGGATATTCTGTGCATAATTGGCTTGACAGTGCGCAACATCACTCCAGTTATAGGCTCCAGGGAAGGGCACTGCTCAGGCTCATTGTATACAATCTCATGTGTGCAAATTAGCATATGAACACTTGAATAAATATGAGGAGAATGGATTATGATTTGCGGCACAAATTACTACACTGTGGCTCCTATGTAAATATATAGATTTTTTCCCTTTGAACAATCCTAACATATTTTTGAATACTTTGGATAGTGAGGAATCAATTAATCAATGTGTATTTATATAGCCCAATATCACAAATGTTACATTTGTCTCAGTGGACTTCACAGTTTGTACAGAAGATCAGTATGATAATACTGTTGAAGTTGTGGCTTGTGTGAAATTGAGAGTGGTATCGTATAAGTAAATTGTAATGAAAATAAAGAAAATAGTTTTCTGCAACGTTTTCTTTCATTAAAGTAAGACCCAGATTCCACATTTAGTAATCATTACATATGGCTGGTGACTCGCTGAAAATGTGTAAAACTTAATTGCCCTATATTTACACTGCTGCTCAATAGAGTGGTGCAGTGACGCGTCCTAAAACCCGGAAGTAAGCTGCTTCCGGTTCCCTCGACAAAAAAGCAATGCAATTTCTCCATAGGATTTTGGAAAATAGCTCGAAATAAGGTCTGTGGTTGACACACATTTAAGAGACGGATCACGTTTTGCTCAGTCGGATAATCTCCACATGTCTACCCTACTTTTATAATTTTCTAATCATAAATCTATCGATTAGATTTATGATTAGAAAATTATAGTAAGCAGCTTACTTCCAGGTTTTACGACGTGTCACTGCACCACTCTACTGTAGATGTGAGAATTTGTAGGCCTTCTCAAACAATGTTACTCAAAACTAATTACCCATTATCTCATTGCAAATGAATTAACCAAAGCTTTTGCTATGGATTTTCAGTTTTTCTTTATGATTTGACTTATGATTCACATTAAGTGACAGAAAAGGACATGAGTACGAAATATAATACACTGGCAAGTTTTCCTTTTGTCTTAATAAATAAACAGTTATATAATTAGCCCATGCATGCACACTCACACACCCACATAAAGATATGATCTACAGCAGTTATAGCAATTAGTGAAATGTGCCAATAGTGGAACAACAGCAGACGTGCTGTATGACAGCTGCTAAGAAACGTTTTTAACAGATTTAAGACACTAATTTTATAGTGTGGTGCGTGTACTTTTTGTACAAACATGCACAAACATGCACATGAGAACTACAGAGCTGTATGTGATAAAAGTGTTTCTAAGTTTCAATTTGTGTGTCAGTGTTTGAAGCATGTGTGCTTGTGTGTGTTTCTGTGTGTTTGTGTGTTATTGTCTGCGTTCATAGGGTCCGTTTGCTGTTTCGCAGCAACCTAAACACAGCCCAGCGATTAATAAAACATGTATAGTTGGTAGGGGTGTGGGTTCCTGTGTATGAATGTGTGTGTCAGGGAAGAGGGACTGCAGCAAAACATGGGGACTGGAAATCTAGGTCATAAGTGAGAGAGACAGAGAGAGAGAACGAAAGAGAGAGAGAAACAGAGTAAGGTACATATTAAAGACAGGAAAATAGGGAAAATAGAGGTAATCAGAAAACAGTGAAATAGAGGCATGTTTATGAAGGTGTCTTTTGAGAGAAAGAAATTGGTCGTGTGGCAAAATCCAGATATTCTCACTTGCTATTGGGGCAAGTGCGGATGCTATATTTATAACCTTTGCAAATCTATGAATGTTCCACCTGTCTGTTTCTCCAGATAATACAGGGGACAGTTTAATACTAAGTTAGAATACGGCCTAAAGCAATGTAATATGTTGCCTTTGATTAAACAGAAAAAGCAGTTATTAGTTATAAGTTATAACTAATAACTCTGCTTTTTCTGTTTAATCAAAGGCAACATATTACATTGCTTTGAATCATTGTTAGCGTTATAACTTATAACGCTAACAATGATTCTCTTCCATTCAAATATCCAAAGTGCAACCACAGCAGCTAAATGGAAATCAGATAAAAAAGTGCTTTTGCAAAATGTAAGAGGAAAACGGTCACACACGCCACTGTTATCATTGGTCTAATTTTTAGCTCACATCCACTTCCTCTTTACGGTTTTACAGCTACTGCATGAACTGCCCTAAGCCCTGAGCATAATACGTCATTTTACATAAAGAGCAAACATTATTCTTACTGCTCTTGTTAAATAGTTCTATTTGTGTGACTTTTTTTCATTGAGACATTCAGTTATTCTCACACAAGGCTGTTTTAGAATGGAGACTCAAGCCTCAGTGGAATCCTCTTTTTGAAAAAACATTATTGTCTCTATAATGCATGAAGTTAATATATTCTATGGGGTCTCTGCGGCGGATTGTTTTAATTGGCTGTCCAGATCATGGCACTCTTTTTAATTTCACAGGATTCACAGATGCTGCCAAACACACACACACATGTGCACACACACAAACACACCCTTCACCCTGACCCTGAAAACTGTGCATCAGCAGAGGAGCTTCATTAGAGCTATCATGAAGAGTAATCACACTCTGCAATGGTGCGCGTTGTGTGTGAGCCCCAAGGGGTCCATTTAGAAAGTGATATTGTTGCTTTGTGGATGGAACAAGTTGTCATAAGCTTGTTGAGTTGGAACGGATAATAAGCTGACACACACAGCGTCATCAGCAGTTTGGACTAGAGTTGCTTAGAATTATAATGTGATTGTAAATATGTGCACACACATGCCAAGAGGTTGCGGTGAAAACATGTGCAAATTAAATAATGTGTTAACATTATAGGACATATCTCTATAGCTTAGGGGCTGTGTTACATAATATAAGTACAAGGAATTGTATTGTTCCCCCAGTAACCGTCATGTTTATATATATTCAGCAAGCTAAGCATTCGGCTGACTTTCATACAGTTTTTTCTCATTAATGCAGATTCAGACAGCTTCCTGGGTGTTTCAACCAACATACATAAATAAATAAATAAATGTGAGCAGTACTTAATTGTACTATTGGGACCATCATTTATTTCTCCTTTATTAGAACCAACTTGT